GAGAACTAAAATTAATAACCGGACCAATTCACATGAAAATGCCAATAATCATTCCCTATGGCTAGAAAAGTTAACCAGAAATCATAGGAGTCATGCAATCATCGATATTCACCAAAGAGATGTTATTGGACTCAACTATATTAACTAGATACACCTTTATTAATAAAACTCGGCAATAGCAGATTTAGAGTCACAACCCAACATCAAACCTTGGCAGTCATAGGAGAGCTGATCACTAAAAAAAAAGTAAACGAAAAATTGACAAATAACAAACTAAAAGTAAAAGGAAAACATCTGAAAGCTAAAAACTAGAAAAACTAGCACCACAGCTGATCCCTCCCCACGCCTAAATGACACATTGCCCTCAATGTAGCAAATGAACAGCAAAAAGAAGGAGAAGGGCAACGAAACTTCCTTGAAATCATGGGGACCGTGTCGGGGTCACATCAGCGGCCGAGGCGCAAAAAGAGGAGGAAAACCCGCGTACTGCATAAAGGCCGCCAGATTCTGGGCAATGTTGGCCATATTGGCGTCAATATTGGTCACCCGAGCATCCAAAATGTCAACCTGCACCCGGAGCTCATTCTAGTCATCAGCCCCATGGGGTAGAACGGAGGTAGACGGGCCCGGATCAGCGTCATCGGAGGAAGAACGGGCAGAAGAGTATCGAGGAGGGACGCGAGTCGGTCCCGGGGAAACAATATCCCACTCGTTGCCACTCTCTCTGACCAAACCCATTCTCTCTAAGCAAGGGATGTCTAAGGCTTCCATTTGACAGGTTACATGCAAATCATGGTTAGAAAGATCAAGCAAATGCAAGTTAACAGCCAAATGGGTAATATACAACCCAAGAATCAGGGGGCATTTCTTTTTAGTCAAAATAGATTTGAATTGAGAAGCAAGGCAGCACCCCAAATTAACCTTAATGTTCTGGTTTAGACAGAATGCCCGAACCATCCTGCCTACTCGAGAAACTATAAGCCAAAAAACGCTAAATATAGCGAGATGCCGGGTCCTTCAGATAGGAACTCTTAGACTGACGAAGGTCAAAATCAGCACGATCTACGGACATATCCTCCCAAATATATCGATAGCGGGAGAAAAAAGGCTTTACGTAGTCACACGCACTCTCGGCATACTCACGAGATTCGGCATAGACCTGATCAATAAAATCAAATGTTAGATTAAAATCAGTGATGGAGTGGTGGAACTCTTGACCCATTAAGCAAAAACGGATGACATTGGGGGTAAATACAGTATAACCGGTAGTAATGGTGAACTCAAACCCATTCTAGATATCCTAGACCTAGAGAGGATCTTGGCCTCACCATTCTCTCCAATTGTCACTCCAAGCAACAAGAGACAACAATTGCCAACAAATATAGAAACCAATGCTCCAGACGGGGTAATGAGAGCCCAAGCAACAAGCAAATTCCCAAGAAATGTTTCTACGGTCAAACAATGCAAGTTATCCCAACAAAGCAAGTAAATTAAACAAAGCTCAACAAGCAACTCACTGTCAGAGATGTCTCCCAATAATCAACAGATGATAATAAAATTTGCTCATCTCAAAATCTCAACAAATGTCTCCAATTGGATAGTCAATTACACAACTCAACCAACTGAAATTAGCAAATGAGCCAAGAAATCGACAATTCCAGCAACAACAGTTCAGAATTTTGACAGCAACTAAATCACAAGGTGTTTTTGCTTTCAATCAGACAGCCAACGAAATAGAATCAACAAATATAGTCAAAATACCCCAACCAGTACCATTGGTGCACCCCACAGATAATGGAACAACTCAAACGACCAACCCAATCAACAAAATGCTCAAGTTAGGCACTTAAGGTCTAAATAAATGTCCCAACAATGTAGCCATTTCAAGGCACCCGCATGTTGCTTTCAACCAGTGAGTCACAATCAACCTAACAATCAACTTAGCAATCAACTAAATCTATGGCAACAATAACTGTAATAAAAGCCAGTGGTCACAAGCAGGCAATCAGAGGCACACTGGAGCCAACCAAATCTCAACACAGACCCACAGAAGGCAATTATCGAATGGCAACAATGGAATAGATGAATCGCAAGTGAGTTCAACAAACAATCTCCCAAAAGAGATGCTCCAAATACTAAAGTAAGAGTTAAGAGGAGTAAAAACTGAATGTCCTTAAAGAACGAGGATGGCGCGGTTGGCCGGTAGCCACCCGGCGGCTTGCGTCGGTCGCAGCTAGGGGGTGGCGTTGGATGAGAGGGAAAGAGAGAGGCCACGAGCGAGCGCGGCGAGTGAGAGAAAGATAGGGTTGCGGCGGTCACAGAGCTCTCGGTTGAAAGAGAAAGGGGGAAGAAGAAAGAAAAGAGAAATAAAGAAAGAAAAAGAAAGAAAGAAAAGGAAAAATAAAAGAAAACAAAAGTTTTTGGGTTTTTTTTTATCTTGGGTCGTTAAACACGGCGTGAGCATGTCAAGATTGGGAAAAATATACTGACTATGGGAGTCACTTTTTACAATTTAACGCGTGCCCTCCTTACGTGGGCACGCCAAGATTCCACTTCCTGCCGACGTCGCGAGATGTTGAGGTTTTATCAACATGGCGTGCCCACGCCATGTTTTGCAAACGTCTACTGACCATGAGGCTGGGATTTACACTATTAACGCGTGTCCTCCTTGCGTGGGCACGCCAAGATTACCTGTCATGGTTATAGTGGAGGAAAATATCAAGAGTAATCAGTACCCAAGTGAGAAACAACAAAGTGAAAGAATTGAACAACAAAAAATAATAAAATCAATATTTGGGTTGCCTCCCAAAAAGCACATTTCTTTAACATTTTTTGCTAGACGTTAAACACCACTCTTTAATCTGGATGTAATTCAATTTTTCTTGTAATCGGTGGCCCTCTTCCGGGATCCAAATAGCCATTGAATGCAACATTTTTCCTTAATTTTCTACTCATTTTCACCTCATGAATTGCTTTCATCCCATAATACTTGTTCGCAGCAACTTTGAATTTACCCCTACAACCAAACTCAGCAAATTCTTGTACAGAGGAATTAGTAGCATGAATAGCAAACACAGAATGATAGTTAATAGGATGTTTCATTGTATCAAAAATATTAAAGTGGACTATTTTTCCATCAAATTCTATCGTGAGAGTACCTTTACTAACATCAATCTTAGTTTGGACAACACTCAAGAATGGCCTTTCTAATATAATGGGTGATGGATTTGGGGCACTTCCATCATCCATGTAAAGCACATAAATATCAGCAGGAAAAATTAATCCGTCTATTTGCACTAAAATATCCTCAACTATCCCATCCGAATAAGCAAATGTATGATCAGCCAATTGAATTATTATCCCTGTTTCTTTTAAAGGTCCTAAATTTAGGAAATCATAGATTGATTTAGGCATCACATTAACAGAAACTCCTAAATCTAGCATGGCATTTTTAATCTTAGAATGTCCAATCTTACAGGGGATAGTAAACATACCTGGATCTCCGCATTTAGGTGGTAATTTTCTTTGTAAAATAGCTGAAATATTCTCACCTACCACAATATGCTCATCCCTCTTCAACTTCTTCTTGTTGACGCACAAATTTTTCAAGAATTTAGCGTATTTTGGCACCTGCTTGATTGCGTCCAACAAAGAGATATTGATTGTCACCTTTCGAAACACCTTTAGAATTTCTTTTTCCTTATCTTGTTTCTTTGGTTTCCCTAACCTGCTCTGAAAAGGCGGTGAGTTAGTTTGTTGAAAAAGATTTGCATTACCTTGAAACAAAAAATTAATTTTCTGTTTTAACTCCTTGTTTCTAACATAAGATTCTTTTAAATTATCATGCAATTTTATAATGATGGATTCAAGATCATCATCACTTTCAAGTTGAAAGTTATAAGTTGTTATCTCATTATCTCCAATAACCATAAAAGTTAATTGAGCAGATTCTTCTTTCTCTTCAGTTTCACCATCGGAGTTGCACTCATTCCACGAGAATTGGAAGCTATTGAATTTTGATTTTCTTCTTTCTTTCGTCTTCTTCATTGGACACTCACTCATGTAATGTCCAAATTGGCAGCATTCATAGCATTTGTCACCTTGCCTTTTGTTGGTCTCTTGCTTTCTTGTATTATTGAATTGATTGAAATCCGAATTGCTAAGTCCTCCCTTTTTGAATCTCCTTTTGTTGATAATTCTTTTGAAACTTTTTATAATAAGAGCAAGTTCATTGTCATCAATATCTTCATCATCTAGTGAAATAGAGTCATCATCATCTTGAGATACTTTTAGAGCGATGCTCCTTTTTGCTTTTGCATCTTTTTCTTCTTGTACCTTGGTCTTTAGTTTCAACTCATAAGATAGAGAGTTTATAAGAGATTCAATAGGCATTGAATTTAAATCTTTTGCCTCTTCAATAGCAGTCACTTTACTTCCCAATCATTTGACAAAGCATTCAAGATTTTTCTATTTTTTCTCCTAAGGTATATTCCTTTTCTGAAACCTCTAAATCTTTAATAAGATCATTGAATCTACAATACATTTGATCAATATTTTCATGAGGTTCTATCTTAAACGACTCATATTTAGTAATCAAGATAGATTTTTTCTATTCTCTAACATTCGAAGTGCCTTCATGAATTCTCTCAATTTGTCCCAAATTTCTTTAGTTGACTTACAACTCTTGACTCTAATAGATTCATTTGAGTCTAAAGCACTATATAACACATCCATAGTTTTTGCATTTAAGGTGAGATGCTTTCTATTCTTAGCAGTCAGTTCATTTCTTATTTTTGGTTTAGGTCTATGAGTATTTTCATTTATAACAGAGGCATCATATGGATCTTTACTAATAATAAATCACAATTCAATGTCAATCGATTTCAAGAAAACAATAATTATCTAAACAAAACTCATCAATTCCATTATTTTGTCTTCGTGGTGTCTCCTTTCGCTTCGTCTCTTAGGGTTTCTACTTTGGGAAGCTTAGGGCTCCAACCATGGCTGGCTTCCAGCCGCCTGGAGGAAGGGCTAGCCGCTCCTTTACTGAAGTCCTTCAGGATCAGCCGTCGCTGTCGCCTTGCAAGATCAGACCTATCTCTCAGTTCAAAGGGGAACCAGCAATTTTGTTCTCGAAGAAGGATATTGCCAAGATGGTTGCGCCCTTCAAGTTCGCCATTGTTGAGAAGTTTTCTCATGGGCGGCCAAGTCTTGATGCTATGCGCAAATCCTTCTCAACAATTGGATTCCAGTCCAGTTTCAACATCGGCCTTTTGGACCAACGTCATGTTCTCATCCGCTTTGGGTTGGAAGAAGACTACCTACGGTGTTGGATGAAAGGCCTCTGGAGCATTGCCGACTTCTCCATGCGCGTTTTCAAGTGGTCTCCTAACTTTCAGCTTACCAGTGAGTCCTCCCACGCACCAGTATGGATTGCATTGGAACAATTACCTGTTCACTTCTTCAACAGGGCTTCGCTGTTCTCCATTGCTAGTGCAATCGGCAGCCCTCTGAAAGTCAACTCGGCGACGGCAACCTTGGCCCGTCCCAATGTGGCTCGCGTCTGTGTCGACTTGGACGTCTCCAAGGACCCGCCTGGTCGCGTCTGGATCGCAGCGGGCAGCCATGGTTTCTGGCAGAAGGTGGCTTACAAGAACCTGCCGCCTTATTGCTCCGTTTGCCATCAACAGGGTCATCCTTCCTCGGGTTGTCGGTGAGGCAAGCGTGAGCAGGCCTGTGTGCAGCATTTTTCTGGCCCAGCAGTAAAAGGGGTTGCCATGGCTGAGCAACTTGGCTAGGGGCAGCATGATACTGAGCCCAGGTTGGGCGGGCACTGCCAGGAGGAGGTGAGGGATACCGTCACCCACACACAAACTCCACATGCCGCTCTCAGGCAACAGGCACCTGAGATGGACATCAATGATGTCACGCCAGTGTTGGGATTTTTGTGTGCTGGTACGCAGCACAAGTGGGGCGAGCAGGAGGCGACGATTGCCTAAACAGCAATCCAAAATGTCGTGCTGCCACAGCAAGCGCCCGAGACTGCAATGTGGGAGGTCACTGACATCGCACCAGTCTTGGGAGGTATTTGTGATGATACGCAGCTCAAGTTAAATGAGCAGGAGAAGACGTTGGCCAACGGATCCTTCTCAGATGGAGAGGACATGCCAAGAGCAGTTGCGCTTGATAGAGAGACGTTGGTCCATTCCCTCAAGCAGTTTAGCACTGCCTTGGGGCCGAGGCTACCCCAACCAGGGGTTGATCGCGATGAAAAGGGTTTTACCATGGTACTTTCGCGGAAGACGAGGAAGCGGCGCGTCTATGTTCCACTGCCCCGACAGATTCTAACACGGCAAGCTTCTAGAGCCATCGAGGTAACGCATCACTCTCTCATTAATGCATAATTTCCTTCGCTGATGTCCTCCACCAGCATCCTCGACCAGCGCCATCAGTCCACCAGCATAGCGCCCTTGCTTCGGGTCACCTCTACATAGTTAGGGAGCTAGCTTCATACAAGGGCAGGCCTGTTATTTTCTTCTCAGAGGAAGATGTTCAAACTCAATCGACCCTCTTTCGATTTGCACTCATCGGGAAGTTCTCCAGAGGTTGACCAAATATGGAGTCACTGCGGAAGGACTTTAGAACGATTGATTTCAAGAGAGACTGTGAGAACCTCGAAAAAATATATAGATATCAATGCATATTTCATTGCAATTTTAATTCTTTAATAAATTCTAGCATTATATCTACTTGTTTTTAAATAAGTACGTAGAAATAATTTTATGTGATAAATAATATAATTGTGCCAAAATATTAACATACTTGGTTTCGCTATGTTAAATTAATATTTCTTGAGTTAGAGTAATTTTATTGCCTTAATATAAATTCTTCGAAATTTCGATAGCTCATTTTAATCCCTAATAAGGTTAAGTGTTAATTGGAAACTTAGCATTATAACAAATTCGATATAAGTATACTAAGATTAGTACATTATTAGGCATTCAAATTACATTTGGGGTAAACTTTGGAATTAGATTAGAATTGAGGACTTGAGTAGAAATTTGGAGGAAACGTGAAAAGACTAAAATACCCTCCACTATCCCAAAAATTTCCATGCAACCACAAAGTATCCTCGGCCAACTCTTAAAAACACTAACATTTCCATTTCTGCCGAAGTGCATTCCCTTTCCTCTACACACACACTCAATCTCCACTACCACAAATCACTCCACTACATCAGCCTCAACCACAAACACTCCACCCCATCTCCATTCTCCACCTCGTGATCATCGACGAGAGCAAGAGAGGGAGAACTCCTCGGCTTGAGCAGGAGAAAGGTGAAGAGAGAGAGCGAGCCGCGAGCTGTATTTCTGTTCTGTCCGAGGAAGTCAAGCGAGAGAGAGAGCAAGAGGCAGTCGAGTGAGCTACTGATCATCACCATCTTCACCAGTTCCAACCGAAACACCACAGCTTCAACCATCCGCAACCAGGACCAACACATCCAGTCGCGAGCGAGCCGAGAAGAGAGAAACATCAGCTTTCTGTCGCGTGAGTGAGCTTTCGGTGAGGTAATTTCTGGACTGAAACTAACTAATCAAGGGTAGATTAAGCTATCTATGGCCATGCATGTGAAGCTTAGGCGTTTGTATGATGAATTTAGGAAAAGAAAAATCTGATGTGCGAAGGAATGGGTTTGCCAAGAATTGAATGGGATAATGCAGAGTTAATTTGTTTATTTCTTGATAATCTGAGCTTATAACTGTGATTAGCTGGTTAATAACAAGATGATTAAGCTCTGCATGCAGTTAATTAATTGGTATAAACCAGAAAAATAAAAATGAAATGGGATGAGCTGGCATGCAAGCCTAGCCGAGAACTTAATCTGGAATGTAGCTCTAATTTTGTCTCTTGGTAGTAATCTGAGCTGATAAACATGATTATCTGACTAAGAACAAGACAATTAAGTCTTGCATAAGGCTAATTAGTTCGGCTAAAAAAGAAAAAAAAAATGAAACAGAAATCTGACGCATGCAAGTTCACTCGAGAATAGCTGAAGAAATTCTAAAAATTGTGGATGATTACAGGTGCTGTCCGAACTTGATTTGGACTAGAAATGATGGTAACTTCATTAAGTAGCCTTGCATGTTAGTTTTGGGTACTTAACACACTGATTCAGCCGAGGAAAAATTGGATTTAAGACCAATTAGCTGCTGAAAATTTTAGGAGTAACCGAGAGGTTGAGCTGGAATTTTTTTTAAATGGAAGCTACTTGGTTGAATTTTCAATTGAGTTGTCATGAGCAGGGATTAATTGATGCTAAGAGCTAATGATTGATGAAACTCTTGGCTCATTTGTTTAATTTTTTATCAAAAATGAATCAGTTGAAACCTAGGGCTAATGATTGACGAAACCCTAGTGAAATTGCTGGTTGAAATGTGATTTTACTATATTGGCAAATCTGAGATATAATGTGCATGTGAATCGGAATCATGAAGTCCGTTTTGATCCTGTGAACTTGAGTATCTTTAGTCAAGCTATTTAAATATATTTTACCCTAGTATTGAACTATAAAATTTGGTATTGAACGCTAACGTTAAGAAACTCGTGTGTCGGGACTTTTAAACTTTGCCAAACCGATATTTCTTCTTTTAGCTTAAACTAACCTTGTTATTGTTAGAAAATGATTTCACTAGTTTTAAAACCCTAGGTTCTACTCTATTCCTTCTCTTTCCTTGAAATTGTCCCTGGTTAGTTGTTCCAGAGGAAATTGTCCAAAAAAAAATGAGATTTTAATAACTTTAACTAAAAAACGTGGGAAAACTTGTTCGGCAAGAAACCCTACGAAATATTTTAACACTTTTACTAGTTTTGATTTTTAAGCAAATTGTTGATTCAGTTTCGAAAGGATAAACTAGTTATACACACAGACAACTTTTCCTACGTAACCCTAGAACTGGTATAGCCAACTTACAGTTTTTAAAATTTGATATTTTAGGGTTTAGCGAGGACGCGGATTTCGATTCTCAACTTGACCTCTGAACTTCACTCTTGGTGAGTGTCCCTGCTTGTTCTATGCTTATTTGGTTAAAGTGCTTTCGTGACTCGATATGCGATAATTGGAAAATGATTGCTGGTCCATCGAATTGAGCAGTGTGTACTTTATCACACTAGCCTTTCGAGTGGCGACTTGCTTGAAGTATTTTTCGTGAATATTTTGCTTGTGCTTGCTATAAGTGTTGGACGTAAAGTCGTTGGGTGAATCCCTCGACCAGTCTATAAGTGTTGGACGTAACGTCGTTGGGTGAATCTCTCGACCAGTCTAAGGTATACTCGAGTATTATCACTTTTGTACTTGGCGTGCGAGCCCGGGACAGGGGTAAGATTGGTGATCGGAGTTAAGAAAAATAAAAAGATCTACACGGACCTTAGGTAGTGAAAGTTGACGGAGGGTCGACTACGGAAAATTTTGATCAAGCTCGTGGAGAAATGGCTCCTGATAGCCCCTGTATCCTATCTTGTACTGTTAAACACTTTCCTAATTATTTACTTTAATTGAAGTTAATACTCGTTATTGTTTTATGTGATTGCATGTTTTGGGGCACCACTGAGTTTTAGCTCACCCCACGTTATTTTGTTTTCCTTGACAGGTTCTGGCATGTGAGAAAGACCTGAAATCTACTTTACTTGTTATGAATGTAATTCGAATTAAACAGTGTGGTTTTGTTTTGGGTTGCCACTTGAAGCTGGAAAAGTGCAAACCCTGGTTTGTTACTTGGCTTGTAAGAATGTATGTGGCTTGTATGAATTTGTTAAATGGGACTGTTTGACTTTATTCCGTGGTTTGTAATGCGTAAGGTATTTAAGAATCAACGAGTCGCTATCTTAAAGTGCTGTTATCTCTAAAGTTAATGTGGTCTTAGTTATTGGTCTATTTTGGAGGATCAATGTTGTAATAGTTTAGGCTATACTTCGGAAGGATTTGGGCTAGATTTCTTGTGTGAGTCCTGGCGAGAGCTAGGCAGACGGCCTGCCAACCCTCTGGTTCGCCTTAGGGTGAAGTGGGGTCGCCACAGAGACTATTCCATTGGCCTGTTAGATCCCCGACACATTCTGATACGGTTTGACAAGGAGGAGGATTATCTCCGTTGCTGGTTGCGTGGAGTTTGGAGCTTCCAAGGTTTCCCCATGCGCACCCTCAAGTGGACGCCCTCATTTACCGTAGATGCAGAATCACCATTAGTTCCGGTATGGATTTCCCTTCCACATCTCCCAGTCCACCTCTTTGATAAAGGGCCGCTCTTCTCGATTGGCCGTCTCATTGGTGAGCCTCTCAAAATCGACACCTCAACTGCATCGCTAACCAGACCTGGGGTAGCCTGTTACTGCGTCGAAGTGAACCTCTTAGGTGACCTGCCAGGCAAAGTCTGGATAGGGAACGGCAGCGCTGGCTTTTGGCAATCGATTCAGTATGAAAATCTTTCGAAGTTTTGCTCCTTCTGCCATAAGCTAGGACACTTTGTGGAGAGATGCCGCCACCACCCAGAAAACGTTGGAACAAGTGTTCCCCCTAGCTTGACTGTGGGGGGTAAAATAGAAAAACACTGGATACCCAGAGTGGACCACGCCAAACAGACGCGTTGCCAGGCACATCGGTCTGTTGCCTCGCGAGAAGGAACAAGATCAGCAGCCTCCGAAGGATCAAACGAGGATTGCCTCACACCCAACCCAAGCAAGGAGCTTGACCAGCAATGGCCCCCCTCAAACTAACGCAATGCTCAGGGAGGTTGAAGGCGGAGTCGACGCAGCAGCCCACTATGCCAATCCTCTCAGACACAAATCACTTAGCTGAAATTGTTCTGGATGACCACCTCTTTCTCCCTAAACGCACGGTACGCGTCCCTAACTCTCTCTTTGACACTGAAGAACTCCCACAGGAGCGACCGAGACATCTTGTGGTACAAGATTTTGTTCTACTCAAGCAAAAGATAGATCATCTCCTCCCCATCCTGAGCCTGGAGGTAGTGGCGAAACGGGGACAGAAACGGCGGTTCTTAAACTTGCCGAAAACAGTTGTAACTCGGCAATCGTCGAGGATAGCCCTCACCCACGCCCCTCCTCAACTGTTTTGATGATTAACGCGCTAATATCGAATGTGCGAGGGATGGCAGGCCATGCTACAGTCCGACGCCTAAAGAAATTGTTACAGCTTCACTCTATCTCGTTCTTAGTTCTCTTGGAGCCGATGGTGGATCTCCAACAACTCGAAGCAATTAAAAACCGTTTCGGGTTTCATCTTACTGTGAGCAACATCACCAATAAAATCTGGGTCATGTGGAAAGTCGATTTTGCTGCTCACGTCTTACTCAATGAAAACCAACTTATTCACTTAGCAGTTACCCACTCTTCGTGGATGGGGGAGGTGTTTTGCACCTTTGTTTATGCTAGCTGCTCCCAGGTGGGCAAGCGACAGCATTGGTCCAGCCTGCTTTCCCTCTCGAAATCGTGGCTGGTTGGAGGAGATTTTAACACAATTACGGACTTAGGAGAATACCTGGGATGTGCGCAGCAGAATTTGGCAGCAGTGAACGAGTTCGCCAAATGTGTCTCTAGCTGTGGGTTGAAGACGAAGGCGCCACTAGGTAGTCGATACACTTGGACTGGTATTCGCCAAGGTCGAGGAGTATGGAAGCGCTTAGATCGGATACTGATGAACGCGCCTAGGCAACACTAGTTTCCTAGCTCAGTGCTCCATCACCTTAATAGGGCAGGATCAGACCACAACCCCTTGCTGGTGCATCTTGATGAGGGGAGCAGACCTGCGCATGGAGCGTTTTGGTTCTAGCACATGTGGTTAAAACATCCGGGCTTCTTGGCAACAGTTCGGCAGAACTGGACACAGCCACTTGAAGGATATGGGATGTTCCTTCTTGGACAGAAACTGAAGCGCTTGAGGAAGGAACTCGGCATATGGAACAAGAATGTGTTTGGGAACATTTTTTCCAAGACCTTAGCAGCGGAGGAAGCTATGCACCAAATAGAGATATGTCTGGAGGAGAGCGACACGGAGGATGCGCGGACACAATGGGAGTGAGCCACGACCACTGTAAATAGGTGTTTAGCTGACGAAGAAATTTATTGGTAGCAGAAAAGTCGAGTTAAATGGTTGCGCGAGGGAGACTTCAACACCAAGTTCTTTCATTCCACGGCTCTGGATAAGAGGGCAAAACTGGCCATTCGTCAAATTAAAAGTGTGCAAGGCATCCTGTTAGTTGAGGAGAATGCAATAGGTGTTGAAGCCTGTAATTTCTTCCGTGATCTCTTGGCTGCACCAGCTGGAACGGATGAGGCAGCAATGCAAGTTCTGTTCGACAACATCCCCACCTTACTACCCAACCCGGATAATGACTATCTAGTTCGGGAGCTCATTAATGATGAAGTGAAACAGGCGATTTTCAGCTTGATGGCCAAAGTGCAGCAGGGGCCGATGGCTTCACTAGGACTTTCTTTATGCATTGTTGGGATATTATTGGGGACGATGTTTGTCAAGCAGCGAAGGAATTCATGTATGGTGTCCCAATTCTGAAAAGCATAGCAAGCACTCCCATTACGCTTATTCCAAAGATTGACTCACCTCAAACCTTCTCTGACTTTCGGCCAATCAGTTTATGCACTTTTGCCAACAAGATTTTCACCAAAATACTTTGCAATGGCTTTAAATCAGTCATACCTTTGGTTATCTCCCCGGAGAAGTCGGCCTTTGTCCGGGGCAGGGAGATTTCTGACAATATCTTGATAGCTCAGGACTTGGTTAATGGAATTGACAGGAGGGCCCGTGGCCATAACATTATCTTTAAATTAGACATGATGAAGGCTTTCGACCGAGTGTCCTGGGATTACTTGTCTCGCCTACTCCTCCGTTTTGGATTCAACCCTCGCTTTGTGGCCTTGGTGATTAATAATTTACACTCCTCTTGGTTCTCAGTGCTCATTAATGGGAAACCGCATGGGTTTTTCCTGGCCGACCATGGCTTAAAGCAAGGGGATCCCCTATCCACTTTTTTGTTCATTTTGGTCTCTGAAGCATTAAGTCGGGGGCTACGCACCCTATTCTCCTTAGGGAAGCTCCAGGCCTATGCACAGCCGAGAGGCACTTTGCCAATTTCCCACCTTGCCTTTGCAGATGATGTGGTCATTTTCACCAGGGGAGATCGCCGGTCTGTGAAGTGTTTAATGGACTATCTCGAGATCTATCAGAAAGGCTCGGGGTAGAAGGTAAATACGGACAAGAGCTTCTACGTTCCTGCGGCTAGGTGCTCTGCAGCAAAGAGGCGATTGATAACCAGACTAACGGGCTTTCAGCAGCAATCACTACCATTCATGTACCTCGGTTTTCGTCTCTACAAGGGTCGGACCAAAAGGGAGTACATCCAACCCTTGATAAGCAAGATGCAGCGGAAGCTAGCGAGTTGAAAAAACAGGATGCTTTCGGCTGGGGGACGGCTAATCTTGATCAAACACGTTCTCTCTGCAATTTCACTTTTGCGGTTCAGGAGCCTCCGAAGACTGTCCTCCACCAACTTAAGCAACTAGTGGCACGATTTTTCTGGGGAGAGACTGAAGGGCGTGAGAAATGTCACTGGAGGAACTGGAATGCGCTTTGTCTCCCAACAGAGCACAATAGCCTTGGGTTTAATAAGCTTGAAGACGTGATGCTGGCTTTTGGTTGCAAGCTATGGTGGAAGCTGCGAAGTGGCGACACGCTCTGGACTCGTTATACTCTCTCTAAAAACATGGTTGAGCACGAGCATGTGACATTGGCACCAGTATGTCTCTCGAGCTCGCGGATCTGGAAAAGATTGACCCGCGTCCGTGCCTTCATGGAGGATCACATGCAAACGCTGCTTTATGATGGTAGTGCATCATTTTGATTTGACAACTGGTTGGGCACGGGTCCACTAGTACAAGGCAAACAGTCGTTCCCTCTACCTAACCTCTGGATTGCAGAAATGGTGGAGGAGGGGGAGTGGTGCTTGGACCAGGTTGAGGAGTCTCTTACAGCGGAGGAAAGGCAGCACATCCTTACTTTCCAAGTCCTACCCCTGCAGGGCGAGGACCATGTAATATGGCAACCCTCACCGGCTGGCTCTTTCACGATTTCATCCATGCTAGAGAGGATTCGACACCCCTCCAATCCTTTAATTTCTCGCAAGCTTATTTGGGACAAGCGAATACCCCTCAAGATCTCAATCTTTATGTGGCAACTGCTTAATGACCTGCTCCCATTTCCCGATATACTGAGGCAGTTTAGTCTGCACGTGCCTTTCAAATGCCCCTTTTGTCCCAACGAAGACTCCCTGACACATTGTTTCGTTGAATGTCATGCTGCAGGCCAGGTCTGGGGCTGGTTTGAACAAGGACTTGGGTTGCATGCAGGCGCCTCAGACTCACTTCCGCTTAAGTTACAAGGGTGGTGGATGCACTCTTCGGGGAGATCGCTCAGGGCCACCTGTACACACTTCTTGCCTATGCTCATCTGTTGGGAGCTGTGGAAGGCTCGAAACATGGCGGTGCATGAGAACAGCGTGCCTTCGCCTGCTCAGGTGCCAGGTATTGGGGCTACTGATGAGTATTGGAGCCGCTTACCCCTTTCCTTCTACAGTGTCACAAGATCCCCCATGGCGGCAGTTGGGGCTGCATACGACGACGACACAGCCACGGGGGAGCACCCGCGTCTCTTTGACTTGGTCCTTGCCACTATACCCTTATGCGAAACTGAACGTAGATGGCTCCTCCCTTGGCAACCCGAGTCTTTTGGGGGGGTGGAATTCTACGTGACCATAATGGTAGTGTCCTAAAGGCCTTCTCCTCTTTCTATGGTTTCCGCACTAATATGGAGGCGGAGGCCATGGCTCTCTTGGTGGGTCTCCGACTGAGCATTGCCCTGAGGTTGCCAAAGCTGATAGTGCAGATGGACTCTAAACAACTGCTTCAAATGGTTCAATGAACTTCTACAGTGCCTTGGAGGATTGACACCATCATCAAGCAAGTACGGCAGGAGCTTTCCAAGGCAGACTTCTTCTTGGAGCATTGCTACAGGGAGCTCAACTCAGCAGCGGACGTCATGGCGAAGGGCGCAGCAGCTAGCAAACACTCGGCCACTTACGATGCGACCAACTTGCCGCCACCTTTGAAAGGCATCTCGGCCTTAGATATTCGGCAGTTTCCGTATTTTTGCCTGTTGCGAGTTCGGGAGTAGTTCTACTGGTCTTGGTTACCGGTTGTACCCGTTTGATTTTGGATCAATAAAACGAAGTTTTTTCTTAAAAAAAAAAAATAGGTTTCTCTCTGTGGATATAGACTCAATGGTGGAGTCGAACCACGTTGAATGTTATGTGTCATTTGTTTTTTATGCTTATGGTTTGTTTATCATTAAATTGTTGTGTACTGATATCTTAATAATTGTTTGTTCTGCTCTTGGATCCTAACAATCAATTCATTCATTCATAACCAAAATCTCAGTCTTTGGAAGATCCATCTTTGGATTTGTTACCGGCCATTGGTATACCTCAAGAATAGGCAAACCCTACTCTAATGCCTATTGACGCAGAAATGTATAGCAAGAATCGTTTCATGAACAATTCCCAAAGAAACAAAGGGGGTGATTCATAATAAAACCCCGAAATTTCACAAGGACCTTAAAACTTGAAGGAACTTGAGAAGAATTGGTAAAAATCAAGGGAAATTGATAATAATTGATCAAAGTTTAAATAACAAAGGCCTAGTACATCCCTATGTATAAACTAGAAGTCCTAATCTAAAAAGGAAATGAAATTACAACTAAAATAAATAAAATAAAAAACATTGCAGGCCCGATGAACCAGAATCAAACATATCACCGAATGTATTCTACCAGTTTGCCTCTCGAAGTCCGACGACGAACTTGACAGCCCGATTTCCGTTGGAGTTGCGCATGCATAGCTTCTTCTTTTGCTTCTTAGCATGATCCAACTTGGCTAAGAAATCTCCAACAACATGTTCCACATCAAAAATACATTATCATTTATTTATATTGTCCTTTATCCTATTTATTTTGCTAACTTTGTCATTTATTGGATTAAATTGGGACAAACTTAAGAGTTTATGGCACAAATAGTTCAAAATTGAGAGTTAAAGGATCAAAGTATCCAAAATTTTTAATTTAGGATAAAAAATGAAAAAGTGGTACGCGTTCAAGGATGCAAAGTAGAGTTAGTCCTGTTAATATGTTAGTAATTAAAAGTAGTAATTACTTTTGCCAGAAGAAAAATTCTTAAAAGTTGAGAAGAAAATTTCAAAATTACATATTACAACTCATGATTTAGAGGTCCTAAATTTAAATCTCAATAGATGCAATTTGTCTAGTACTAATATATGGAAGTTTTCATCTTACAATTCATGGTTTTGCTTCTAATATCTTTAAATTGTAAGTTGGTTGTATTGACCCCACCAACATGAGTTAGTTGTATTAATATAAAAATCATAAATTACAGTTTATCTTTTAAAAATTTCTTAAGCTGTCTCTCTACTTCATAAATTTTATCCCTTCTCTGTTAAAAAAATTGAACAAAATATGCTTCAGATTATTGAAGTGAGAGAAGAAACTATCAGATCTGGATGCTTTGGTCTAAACAGCCAAACAGTAGAAAGATCGGACCTTCGTAAAACTTGTGTGTCATATATACACGCAAGACAGACACCAAAAAAAAAAAAAAAAAAATCAATCAAAGCCAAAGCACATTACTTATTCGAATCATCCTCTTGAAAAGGAACTAAACGACGACCTAATTACCACAGTAGAAAAAACTTGACCAGAAGAGAACAGATTTCGTTGTTGACATCTATTATCCCTAGATGCATTCTAGGATAAGTCACAATGCTGAGCCTCATTCTTTCTCTTCACACACTCATAGGGCTGTCTGGATCATTTAAAGCTGCAATTGCAGTTTGAATTTTTATCTTCAAAACATCTTTTTCTTCCTCGTTAGCCTGAAAAAGGTAAATGGAAAAGAGGATATTTGATAATTAGTATTAGCAGAAAATTAGCAAATATATATTTAGAAACAGTGCTGATAAATACAGATAGAAGAATCATATTGTCATATATTTTTCGTTTTGTAATTTAAGTAGTGAAAAAGAGATCAATATTTGACATCGATTTTTGATCCTCCCTAGGAAGCACTTGGATATTCAGATAATCAATAACACTCAATAACACCAATCGTCATTGATAAGGCCATAAATTAGCTCTAAATTTTAGAAAGGACAGGTGGCAAAAAATTGTGAAGTGTATTATGATCATTCAATTATGAGAAATTGAATTGAAGAATATAGGTGGACCCATTTGTCATTTTAAATCTTTTGTATCATTAGAAAATTCTCAAATTATTTCTCTCATTTTTGGTATTGTTTTCATACTCTCAAATCATCTACACTAAATTGTTTTGTATGATTTTCATTTAAAAGAAATTTTCTAAAGTTTATTACAGTTAGGGCTAGCGTTTTGAAAATGAGACTAGATCCAACTATTGGACCAGTTAAACTGCGAATTGGCTATAGGCCAATTTGGTTCACTAGTCAACTTGAAAAGCTATTTGAACCAATCAAATCCGACTGAACCGATTAAACCAGGTAAAAAAATCAAAGTTTTGAAACATTTCAAAATCAATTTCATTTTTATAAATTTCCAAGTAATATAAGTTACTTAATAATTAAAAGAATAAAAAAAGAAAAGTCTTTTGATTTGGATTGAAGCAGTTAAACCATGAATGGGAAACTTAATGGTCACTTAATAAATCTTTTCACTAAATGGTCCGGATTTAAAAGCATTGGTCATGGAGAGCTAAATAATTCAGATATATGATATTCAGCACTATTAATTGCCCTGTTAAATATAATTATCGATTTAGAAGTTTACGTAATAAAAATACACAGCTGTACTGTATGCTTCATCAACTTTGCTCTAATGTCCGTAGACCCCACCACTGTGTGCAAAAAATTGGACAAGCATTGACACTTTAAGGATTTGCAAAAAATTGTCTCAGCCGTTAAATAAACTACTATTTCATTTCTTTTCAGGGCTGGATTGAAAATATTAAATTGTGCAGTTATTTTAGGCAAATTCTTGCTATTTAATATTGTAAACTCTCTTTCCTAGATGAATTTGTATATAGACATATGCATAAATAATTTCCCAAAATCTGCCTGATCCATCAATCGAGGATTTTGGGTCCATGGCTCTAGGAAATCAGGAGCAGATTGGCCCAGGTGATGGGGAATTAAAGTTAAGCACGTCCAGAAAGGTAATAAAAGTTCTTCATTGCTTCCAGAATAATACAAAAATTTTGGTCCTCTATGCCTAATGTAGGACCAAGTTTTATCAAAGAATTAAGTATTACGTGCTATGTTGAGATTCGTCCATATCATAGGGGTCTAAAATTGCAATTTCCGGAAAAAATTGGATCCCTCTTTTATCATTTTTAAAGAAAAGAAACAACAAGTTGCCAATTTATCATTAGTTTGTACTTCTATTAAGATTGTTTAGTATCATTCGTAGAGAACAAAATTTGCACGTTAACGTCATTGTACAAAGTCATATCATCTGTACCTACACTTCTGGTGAGACATTGCTATGCTCTCTTGCCCTATTCTCAGATAATGCTAAATCTTTGCACAAAATTAAATGAAAAGAAAAATAAGGGGAAAAAAGTAGGGTCTAAATGATTTTCTCTTAGATGTGATTAGATTGCATAATTTTTTACACTCTCCAAATTAATTAATTTTTTTTCTATGGAGAGTGCAAAAAAATTAATTTTTCTATGTAGAGTGCAAAAAATTAATTTGGAGAGTGCAAGAAACTGGGGATTTACAACAAAAAACTAACAAAAGAAAAAAATTGAAATAAGAGAAAGAGAAACGTACCTCTAAGAATACAGTGTTTAGAAGCCTGCCAGAAAATGCAGTGATGTTGGCTGTAATGATTTTGAGATTCAAAGATTCAAAGACTTCACAGATCTTTACAATTGTGTCTGTTCTTTTACTGCATGTGAGGCTCACTACAATAGTCTTCTCTCCAATGTGAGATACCCTTAACTGTAGAATTGATTTTTGAAAGGTCTATATATCAATGACAGAAAGACAAATTACTCACAAATATCTAGAACGAAAAATGAATAAATCTAAAACATGGGATTGTCTTTAAAGTCTCATGGACCTCTTTAATAAAAGGGATAATTTTAGAAACCTCCCTTGAGATTTCTGACAGAGATTTGGAAAATTACACATACCTCCCTTAATTTGATAGTTTTAGTAACAAAATCTTGAAATAATATTGATTTGGTCAAATTTGTAAATAAATACCCAAAAATGCCCTTGTGTAATGAATTTTAATTTACTTCCCTATAGAATTATAAGATTATCTAATGTAATTATAAGAAAAATGTACCGAATTTTTCATGTCCATACCTACTATTTGATAAATAACTATAATAATAATTTTATTGCTATGATAGGATATATTTGATGGTATTTTATTATGAATTTAGATTTATAAGATAGAAAATAAAATGTTGAAATAATTGATTCAGAATTTATGAATTTTTTGAGTAGTGGGATTATCATAATTTAGTAGTGATTTTGGGCAATTTCTTTTGATTTATTGTTAATTTTAATACCAAAAAATAGAAAACAAAGATTAGCAAAAAATATCGGATTACGTATAAAGTTAATTCATCAAAAAAATCATTAGTTCGACATTGGGTTACAATAGAAACTAAAGATAATAGTGGTAGTTTTACAATTTTATTGGCAAAAAATTAAAATAAAAAGGAATAAGAAGGAAAAAGAATGAAAAAATAATTTTAAAGTCATTCTAAGTATAAGCATTCCAAACAAGAGAATTTTATTTTAAAAATATTTAAGGATAATATTATTATTTTAAATGACAAGGGAGGTATGTATAATTTTTCAAACCTTAGGGGAGTTCAGTGAAATTGTTAGAAACCTCCGAAGAGATTTCTGAAATTATCCCTTAATAAAAACAAAAGACAGGAAGAGCGCCCCCCCCCCCCCCCCGGGGGGTTCTGTGTGTGAAAAGACCGCTTCTTGGCCGGGGTATTCTTTTCCCATGGGGGTGGGGAAGGGAGAGCCCGATTGGTAGAAAAAAAAAACTACAACCCCTAATCGAAGGTCGGTTGACTGCGCTGAAGGGTTAGTATTGATTCATGCAAAGATGCTCCCCATTTCTCCGTAAGTGGGCTCTACTTACTTGGGCAATGTAAAGACTACTAGATCAGTGGCAACTGGGAGGGGCTCCTAGAGAGAGAGAGAAGAATAAAGTGATAAACCAACCTCAAGAACTTCAATGGGAGATGATCTGGACCCTACAGAATCACAGGTCTGCTCAAATCTTGATCTCTTTGGCTTGGAATTACAGCTTATTTCTTCATCAAAATCAAGAAATATACTCCTCTTTGACTCCAGTTCTGATATTTCAGCTTGAATCACTCTCTCTTGATTATGCAGTTCTTGTATGTAGTCTATGGCATCTTTAATAATTGAAGCCTTGTCCATCTGATCAAACATCAATTCATGATTCATTTTTAGTTTATTCCTAGTGGTGGCAATCATTTAAAAAAAAAAACATTTTCTGGCAATGAATACCATAGGGATCCTTAGTCCTCACCTTACTGATATTGGGGACCACAGCTCTAAGTGCATGGAGCCTTTCAGTCAGTTTCTTCCTCCTCTTCCTCTCCGACTCAATGTTCTTTGATGCTGCTGATGATTGTGCTCCATCAGGAGAGTTTGAATCATGAAATGAAAATGATTCATCAAAATAACTGCACAATCAACTAATTAATCAATCCGACGCATCAGTCATCGCAAAATTTCTATTTAAATAAATAATTGCTCGCGAACTATAGAAGAGTCAAATTCAGCAAAATATCATCAAATGTCTAAACAAGAATTGGAGAAAATAAGTATGAAAGGATGAGGATCGAACTATTGTTTCTCAAACATTAGGCTTCCACTAAATATGTTGTCAACTTTACAACCAAAAGATTTACCTTGCTAGTTGCTCAGTTTGGAGGAACATATTTTCCCAATAGTATTTGTATACAACATCTATGTCATCCATGGTTTCTTCTTTCTTTCCTTCTCCTTTGGCTATAGGGAAGGTTTCTTCTTTCTTTCTTTCTCCTTTGGCTAGGGAAGAAGGAGATGAAAGATGGACCTTGGAAGAAAGTGATGAATGATATAGAGGCAGTGATGAAAGTTTTTTTTCCTCAATTTAATGTGAAGAGACGGTAAAGCAAAGCACCAATGAGTAGAGGTATCTATACAATATACTATTCGTTAGTCCATAGTTTACTAGAAGATTTCCAATAATATGACACGCGTCGTCTCTTAAGAATTTTGAATTATTTTACTTTTTGATTAATTCTATTAATGTTATCGAATAGGCATTAGTTTGTTTAGTTCAAATATTTAAATCACTATATTCTATGGAGAAAAATATTTTTTGAAACTAACTTATCAAAAAGATTGTCTAAATAAATATTTTACTTTAACATTTCATTTAGGCAGAAAAGTCTCAGTTAAACTAACATATCAATATACCTCTCTAAGTAAAGTTTACCACTTTATCATTTCGCCTGGTTGCAAATGACAAATAGTTTATACAAGCATTATGTCCTGCGCTATGCACAAAAGCTACAAATAGTTAAAAATAATTTAAATGTTATAATAAAGTAGTTAAAAAATTTATTATCATAGAAGACTATTTAAGATCTTTACAATTATATGCAATTCAATGACTATTTTTTGTTTGTTGAATTTGAAAACAAAAATTCGACAAAAAAACCACCGAATTGCATGGAATATCTCTTTTCCTGAATGTTTCTGGAAGGTTAATAAAGATACACTATGAAGAATAGGGTGTATGATCATAGAGTCATAGTAATATTTTTATCTCTCAAAGCTTCAACAAGTTGCCCTTAAACGGTTAGGCTTTTGTAAACTCAGATAATTCATTCCAAGGTTAAGGTTATTACGCCCTCCTCTCCCTTGGCTAGAGTTCTCTTCATTGCATTGGAGAAAATTTCTCTCTATTACACACTAATAAAATTTAATTAAATTTTATTTTAATAAATCAACACAGTTCATTATATATTTCATCACTTATATTAGTTATACATAAAATTTCATGTGAAATTGATTATGTTTTACCCTCTAATTAATCATTACAAAATTTGTCACAATTTTAAATCATTTTTTACCATTCAAATGTTTCGTGTAATTGAATGCCAAAGTATTTGCAAAAGAATATCATTTTCAGTATGTTGATCTAGAGATTAAAAAAAAGTAATGACACAATTAGATGAGTTTATAGAGTTATAAAATTTTAGGTATAAATATATGAAGAAATACTGGAGAGAAAACCAATCGAAAGGATCCTAACCCCACGTCCCTTGTCATATTGACTTTAGCCCTTCTTTAATTATCTAATAAATATGGTAGAAATCCATGTTCAAACTATTCTAGTGAGATAGTCCATTATCGATCAATGAGGTTCTGGTCAAGTGATTAAGATTAAGATAATTAGCAGTTATGAGTTTAAGTTACATTTGGTTTCTTTTGCCATTCTTTATGAATTTTATTGTAATATTATTGAGTTGTAATTCATTCACGGGTTAGCTTGTTGACGTATAAAACCCACCCCCCCCACCACACACACACACAAAAAAAGGGGTTGGATCAGAAGAGACGTAGAACAAACCCTAACAAAGCCACTTAAACTTATTTCAACAAAACGATATGTACAAGTGACGTCCAAGTTGAGATAGAACATTATTTCAATGAAACCAAAAGTGAAAAACCAACGAATTTTATAAATCGGCCTAAAGTCGGTCTGTGTCTAAAAAAATCTCAGTGCTTGATGAAATTTTAATTTCTATTTCTATAATATACTCATAAAAGGTAAGGTATATGCCATCCTTGCACGACAAGAATTCCGCTTCGTATGACTCGAATCCAAGTCAATACTTGGGCGAAGATCAAAGAAGTCCAGATAAATATGGATTGCTATTTTTCAACAGAACGAAATTCAGTTTTGACGGGGCTCATCGACAACGACAATAGGACAGAGCATTTGCCCAAAAATCGACAGACGGACTCTCTGCTGCTGATTTTTGACGGAAGAATCGAGAATGCCAAAAAAATAATAACAAATAAAAAAGAAAGGCTCATTGACAAGAATAATGTTATAGACTACTTGCTTTTTCGATTTGAGAAGGTAGAAATCGAAAATAAACAAAAAAAAAAAGTACACAGAAAAAGATAGCTTAAGTGGATATACTTGCGAAGTGCCGTTAAATATTTTGGACTGGTTTTGGATTCAGCGATTGGACGACAGATTTAAAATCCATTTGGACAGTATTTTTTGGGAGTTTGTCTTAAAATAACCTTTGTGTATTTAGAAGTATTCAGTGTTAAACCAACTGTGTATATATGAATGTACTACACAGCAAAAATCTAAATTGACTTACCTTCAACCATTATTGTCAAGTACAAGTTGATCCCTCCTTGTCTCTTTGACTCGTTGTCTATTCTAATAAAACAAAATATGTAGAAAAAAATTAGAGTAAGGAGTTTCTAATTTATGCCTAACCAGTGAGTATAGTATTGATGGAATATTATAAACTATTTATAGGTTAGGTTAGTAACCCTTGCTGGCAAATACCAAAATCCTTAGGGTATTCTTCCATCAAGAAAATCTTGCCATAATTCATAACCTTTCTGACTAATTGATTGATTTGATTAATTAACTGATTAAATACGATATCAATTAGCAAAAGATACCAATCAATCATTAACAAATGGAAGATACTAATTAACTATTGGCTTAATCAGGATGACAATCACTTTATAATCGATCATGTGAGCCATAATTGCCTCTAAAAGAGACAAATCTTACATTCTTGACCTACATGCCATAGTCAAATAATTTTGAATGACTAGATATTTGAATGGCCATAAGTCTTTATTGTCAATCATAGACTCGACAGTTACGTAACAGTTATTTAATTAGAAAATGATAATACTCGAATCATGATGGTTATGTTCTCATTAGATACACTTCCTTTCATGTCTACCTTGTATATAAAAAAAAAAAGAGGTTATTGTAGCGACCTCTTTTTTTGCCAAGTGTATAGTCTCTTATTTTGACAACTGTCAGTTTCTATTTATAGTTAAAATTTTGTTCCACTATTTTTTTTTAGTCAAAAGTCATAAATATCTCTCCTCCCCATTCTTTTTTTCTTCCTCTTTCTGCCTCTACTTTTAACCTTTATCTCCCTCTTTTTTCATCATCTTTCTTTTTTCCCCCTTCAAATTTTTTCTTTATAATTAATTATACTAAGATTATTTTCTTACTATTTTTTTAGATGATTATTGTTGACCATAGAGAGGTGTTGCAACAATCAATTGATTTATACTGCCACTTCCTATTCCATCAATTTAACTCTTTAATCCAGTCTTTTGCTTTTCTTTTCTTTTTTTCCTTCATCTTAATTTTTCTCCACCTTTCCTTGTTCCACTCAATCAATGCATTTTTTCCTTTTTTCTCTATAATTAATTGAATGTATTTTTTCTTGCACGGGAATGGATATTTCTTTTGTTCCATTGTTCAAAAATCATGATCATTTTTTTTTACGAGAAATATAGACAATTGACCTTTTACCTCCACTATTCCTACTGTTTGGTATATTCCATTTTCCTTTTATTCCTATTCTTCACTCGTTTCACGCTACCAAATATGGACTCAACTTTTTTTTATTAATTGTGTTTTTAACTTTTTTTTATTAACTGTATTTTATTTAGCCTTTATCATTTTTCTTTTTTTGCCCCTTTATTCTGTTACCTTGGTGTATTTATTTATTTTAACTTAATCTCCTTGATATTCATTAAGCCTTCCATTATTTTGGTGCAAATCGATTTTCCTTTTGTGTGGTTTGTTTTAAATCTAAAAGCAAAATATGTTTTTTGCAATTATGATGTTTTAGTTCCTTTTAATGCATAATTTGTGAGGACTCGAAATTTCAATTTTTTCTTACTTTCACTTCATTTTACTGGCTTATTTAATTATTTATTCACCCGTTTACTCCGAATAATTTATTTCATTCATTTTAAACCCATTTGTATGCAAAAATGTCTCATTTATATTTTAAAATGTTTCGCTAGCGAATGTAAATTTTTCTGCGGCTCGTTTAACAAGAAATAGCACATGCACGTTTTTTGAGGTAAATTCAATCCGATAGTGCAATAATCTTGGAGTATTAAGGGTGATTAATACTAGACTAAGAAAAGTTAACTGAGGAATTAGAGTGAGTGAGTTAAGTTAACCTCAATTAGGAGCACAAATTACACTCTAACTGATCGTTGACTTTTGGGGCACAAGAGCACTTTATGTCCTATCTTCTTACACAACATCACATCACCACCTACCAACCAAAATCTCTTCCTTCTTCCCTACTCTTGGCCGAGCTTCCCCTTCCCCATTTCCCCCCAAAATTTCAGCTTTTGTCTTCCATTTTTGCTCCACAAAGCTCTCCAAAAATTGCTTCTTGTCTTGGGTCTTCATGCAAGCTTGGAAGAGGACTTAATCAAGGAAAAAACTTGGTGATTTAAGGGCCCAAAAACCTAGTGTTTACTCTTCTTTTGGCAGCAAGGTGATCACCCCAAGAACCCTTCAACTTTTCCTCTTCAATTCATAGTAGTAAGTTAGTAGTTAGTTAGTGATGGCAAGATAGTTGTTGGGTTGTTGATGGGTTCACAAGAACCTTGACATTAGGTAGTGGACTTGAGGAGGCCTTATAGGTAGCTGCCTTGAGAATTATTGTGTGTTTAATTGCTTGTTTGTTACTTGCTTTGATGAGATATGGTGTTGTTTGAGTTGAAAAGTTGAAAAAGAAAGCTAGAGGAAGATGCATGCATGCTGGCCGAAAATTCTGTCCATGTTGTTCAGTTTTTATTTCGAAATTTTGATACTTGGTTGGCTGTGAAATTGATGGATATATATTGTATATTGTGTGTACAAAGTGCCTTTCAAAAATCATTTCATTTGGTTGTATAAAACTTGAGCTTTGGTAAGATTCAAATCTGGAAATAGTATAGTAGAATACTCGGACAGTGCTTCTTTGTTCGAACGTAATTCTCTGTACAAAAGTCGAAATTGAGTTCTGTTTGCAGCATTCAAAACTAGACATTCATAGCTTTCCAATGGTATAAAAATCTCCTGCTTGTTCATT